AATTGCATTACTTTGTAAGGTAATTCTATGATGTGTGGCGATCTTTAACTAATAAAACTCGTTACATTTGACTAAAACTTAGACAGAATTGCACAAATTCAGTGCACACTCCTAGGTAGAACAAAATCCTAAAATGCACCCATTTTTGATACCACCAAGTTGCCACGTTGCAAAACCCACCTCAGTCAGTGCATGACTAGACCTCGTGACGAATGATCAAGGCGCCAGCTGTAAGCACGCCTTGCATAATGTTGTAAGCCTTGACTAAGTGCCATTTCGTTTTTTGATGATATTCTTGAGATCAGTAGCAACAATGAAGTCTACGATCATGCGTGCCACTAGCAAAATAGATTAACGACGCGGTTGTTGTCTGAGGAGTCTATTTCGATTCGTAATGAGGTATTGTGAGGGAATACTTTCACAACTGTCGTGTTTTGGTCAATTTCGTGTTTCACCAATGTTTATCACCGTCGCAGTCATGCACAGTCATGACTTCAATTGTCATGAGATTCTGTTCAGATTCACCCAAAGTTCTATTTTCGGGGTTTCGGGGTTGCGGGGTTTCGGGGTTTATTAGGAGATTACTGAACGTTCTTGTGACCAATCAGTGTTCTTGGAAAACATCGAGTGATTTCCGAAAATAGTGAATGACTGATTAATCATTAACCGTACACGAGATGATCGAGGGACCAATCCCATAATCGATCGCTGCAAAATGACTCGGTCATATATTAGTATCCGGATGTCTGACCAGTCATGAAAGCCCATCCAAGAACACATGGGTGTACTTGGAATGTAATTGGCCACTGACTGGAGGCTTGATCATACGTCAAGAGGTCTATTAGACCTCTTGCGTAATAGACCTCTTATATGTTAAGGGCGGGCAGGTCTGGATACCACGAAAAATGGCATAAAATGGCCGTTTTTCCGAGAAAAGTTGCCAAAATTGAAATCTTCCATTTTTCTGGATTTTGTGCGTCTGGATACCACTAAAGTTCAAAACTTTATGCCACAATTTTCTTGAAAATCAGGTGTTTTATGGAATTATTAGAATGGGCCGATTTGGTCCAACTTTTTTATGGAGGTTTGTATTTACGTTGAAGTCTTGCACTTCACAATCGGAAATCGAATAATTTTTCCATAATACAGCTGGCAGCATCCAGACAACTTTGTAGATACTTCTTTTCTCCTTTTCTTCATGGGATATGAGACTTCGGAAAAAAATTCAGCTTGCCAAAACGGTTTATGGCATAATTGTATGAGGTGGTACCCCGAAATATACTAGGAACAGGAAAACTCAGAGAGCCAATCAAAATACGTCATATTTTGAATTCTTACTCCTTCGCAAACTCGTTTTTGAGAATGACCTTCGGGAGGTCATACCGGTACTGTACCAGGTCATTCGCATGGGTCTAAGGGGGGTATTTTTTTATTCGCTGTCAACTGATATAGGAGTCCGACTTGAATTGGCTGCCGACTCGTATAACGCAAGACGACGGTGGTACTGTAGTGCCGTCTTGCGGAAGATTGTACGACAGCCAATTCATGTCGTACTCCTACATAAGTTGATAAAAAGTATCAGAGGTTTACCCTAGTACTTTGACTACTTACAGTACCAGCCAGTACTTTGACTACTTACAGTACCAGCCAGTACTTTCTGTTAAGTATTAATAAATAGTATTGTATTTGATTTTGTCACTATATCCTGCATACTGGAACTTTATAACTCGATATACATACGGTATCGCAGGCCTCTGATATAACACACTGAAAATTGTATGCTACTTCGAAGTATTTAATAGCAGTAAGCTTATGTCTATCAGGAAAATCCAAACTCAATTAATCTATCAGGATTCGGATAAATACAGATTATTGTCCGAAACGTACTTACAGTTAAGAACAGATCATTGTCCGACTCGTACTTACTGTTGCGGCAGTACTACGTAGTACTCCGAGTATGACAGAAGACGGTATTTTCGGTAGATTCGACGAACGACGTCAATCAAATCTACCTGAAATCGTCGAGACGTCGTTTTACTTAAACTAAATATACTCCAGTGAATCCTGTCAGATACAATGTTGAACTCTGTGAATTGGCAATGCACAGGATTCTTCTACATACTATTTGATATATCAAAGTGTTTTTATTCGATAATTTCATTGGTTACTTCGGTCCGTCGATTACTGCGTCGATTTTGCTGTGTCGATTCGATTGGCAGCCCCAGTCCATTTTGAAATCGAATTACCAATACCTATATAAATATATAAACATACATAATTGAAAACCTCCATAAAACATACTACTTCGAAGTATTAATAGTAGTACGTAGTACTACCACACAATGTATACTTAATACGAAAATTGAATATAAATAGTTCAACTAGGACAAATGGTCCAAAGCCCTGGGCCGGACTACCATTGGGTGGAATTTAGGATTGAAGCATTTTCATTGGCTAGTCGCTTGTCTGCGCCGCTATTCGATTGGACTACCCACTCCAACTTCGAATCGAATCTTGAAATCGGATCAACTTTGATTATTTTGACAAATCAAACCAACCGTTTTGAAAGCCATGATTCTGATTGGTTAACAGCTAATTACAGCAATATTCAGACGAACAGTGGTTTAAATTCCCTCGTTCACTGTCTCGTGCAAGACGGTATACCCGGTAATACTTCGAAGTACCGGTATGTACTAATAGTACTATTTTAATAGTAGTATTAAAAATAGTAACGTTACCTCACAGTCAAGTATTAATATAACCACTAACATTAGTTGGTAGTAATACGTCATGTGACCATTCTGGTTTTTATGTGTTCGTGCCAACGAAAAACCTGTAGCACAACCCGACACATTTTTCATATCCAATCATATTTGAGACAAGCGCTTCGCAGTGTTTTGATTGGTTCAAATCTATCATCCATTACTCGCAACATTCAACTTGAATTTAAGATTCACGTTAGACGACACCCCCTGCAACAAACTTAACCCTTCCCAACGGCGCTGAGTAGGCGAAAGCTTTTCTTCTGACGTATTTCACTTACAGTCACTCCCATCACGCTTCCCCCCCCACAGCTCAATATGGGCATTGTGTATCACGTGATGGTTGTGAACTCCGGTACAGTACCTACCTACCTTGGTGTGGCCATGCGACATGACCGGCCAATTCAACGCATTGTGCATGCGCTGCAGAAAAACCCAGCAAACGTTGTACGCATTCAAGTATTCTCCATCGATAGAAGCTTGTGAATGGCTTGGGATGAATGTAAGTCGAAGCCTTTCAGGTGGACCATAATGAGCTGGCGAATTCGTGGGTCGATCTTTCCACGGTTTCAAAGATACCAGTGATGATAGAATTGAATTTAACGTGATGCGTTTTTCCAGTTGGGACAGCACAAACCAAGTGGTTTGCCTTGTCAACACTGTCAGCATGCATGTCGCACTCGAGACTTCGATGAGTGCTGCTGTGGACGGAGAACATGTACCGCTGTGTAGGATTACGCAAGTGCTTTCGAATACCGGGAACGCGAATGTATTCGGGGTGACTACTCCTCCACGAAGCAGCAGGTTTCGTAGTCCAACGAACATCAACATCGCCGAAGTTCATGGCGTTTTATTCAAAAAACGTCTCTGCTGGACAATCAGCCTTATAAAATGGACAGGCCCGATCCACCAATGTTTAAAAATATATGGACTTTCTGCACCAAGAAACATTTTTCGCATTGTATTTGTCAAAATTAATATAAACTCTCCCTCTGTACTTGGTTGTTACGACCACATTCCATCCACGGCCACAATACAATCTGACAACACCTTGTCCAACCACCGAATCGATCATGGACCTGGCCTACATCTGCAGCTCCGATCAACATGCGCAAGCTCTTGCAGCGGCGGCTGCCGCCGCCGCGCTCCATCACCACGCATCTGCTGGCACGGACGCTCGCCAACGGTTCCCGGCTTCGAGCACTTGCTTCTTCAACGACTGCCACAAAGAAGTCCAACCAGGGTCGTGGAAGTGCGTGTTTCACCGCAATCGAGCGCGGTGCCTGTACATGGACTGTCAGAACCAAGTGTACGCGCGCAACCTATGCGTCCGACACGGTGGGAAGAAGCAGTGCAAGGAAGAAGGATGCACCGGCAACGCTCGCCTCGGCAACTTTTGCTCCAAACATGGGACAGGCAGCATCAAAAAGAAGTGCACCGAAGAAGGGTGTACCAAGATGGCCCACGCGCGGCACAAGTGCGTCCGGCACGGTGGCGGACGGAAATGCAAAATGGACGGCTGCCAGACGCACGCCCGCAACGGCGGATACTGCTGCCGCCACAACCGGCAGTTGGCCAACGACAAGGAAGCACCCTCCCCCATGCTGTACCCTGCAGACCACCTTGGATCGTACCATCCCCACATTCGACCGAGCCCGCAGAGCGTGCTTATGAAGGAGGACGCGTTGCCTGACAGTGCAGCCGCTAATGGCCTCGAGATTCTCAATCTGACCATTGAGCGCTACAACGTCGGGCAGGTTGACACATCGACCACATCTACGGCCAAGAGAGATCCCGTCTATTCCTCTTAATGCTAAAGAAATCTTAATGTACATCCTAATCTTATGCAATATGTCCATCGTTGATGACAGGTACCGCATCCATGGGACTGTGATTAACGGCGGGAACTCGCGGATGATCGAGATGGCAACGATTGGTCAAAAAAATGACGTCACGGAAACAGCCAATTAAACACATGACTTCTAGTATCAGCCAATCACAATCTCTGTAGACGGTGTCAAGAAATCCAAAAACAGAACCACTATTTTTTATTGTTCATTTACAGTTATAACTGTAAATTACGACCTAGTAGTACTAGTACTAGTACGCGTTAAAAATGAGAGTGATTTTTACCATTACCGATAATGCATACACCAGAGCAGACTTCCATGGATGCTGTCAATAATTGCAAACCCCTGTTGTGAGAAGTCTAAAATGCACCCATATGCATCCATTATCCTAGTTTATCCCACTTGAAAATGTCTTCACTATGAACTTGGTTTGTCCCAGTTGACTGTAATTTCGACTTGATTTTATTAATAACTGTAACGATAAGTCCTTACGAAACACTATTACAGTACTACGTACTACTACGTACTAGTAGTATACTAGTAATACTACCGGTAGTACTCGGGAGGTAGCAATGTGGAGTAAAGGAACCCCTCCATCGACAGGTCCCAAAACACTGTATGCCCTTATGTACAGTACATACAGTACGTAAGGGCATATATATATATATATATATACAGAGCCCCTTTGAAGTTCCAAATAGTTATGCTGACAGTGTTAGGTCACACGACCACAGGGTCGGGGGGAGTGCCCGGGGTGCGGTCTTCGTCGTCGTCGTTCATGTCGACCACGATGCGAGGCGGGGGCACCTCTCCGACGAACCCCATTGGTTCGGTTCTCACGTCATTTTTGCATTTGAGTTGCAGCCGGCGGACGTGCACCGATGCCCGGATGGCCACCGCCATGGCCACTCCCACCGCGGCACCGAGCACCCCGACGGCCACCGCCCATGCAACCTCGTGCGCGGCCGTCCCGACCTTGTGCGCCGCTTCCTGGACATATGCATAATGCGCAGTGTGTCCGTCAAACACGTCCGCCGTGCCGAAGTACGCCAACGGGTACGAGCTGCCGACGCCGTCAAAGCGCACGGGCGCGATGTCGGCGATGCACGATGTGTCCACTGCGTCCAGAACCCCATCTTGAACGACATACGACGCCAATACTTTGACGCCGCAGGTGTTGCCGCCCTACATGGCATCATAGAAGAAATCCATCGTCAGATATATTGTAATATCGATTCGAAACTGGAGAGAATCAAATGTGTTAGGAGAATCGATTAAAGAACCGCCTGAGCCAATCAAATATCACGTCATGTCGAATTTCTGCCAATCCAAACCTTTGACCCCTCTGCATTGGGCAAAACCATATATATACTAATCGTTTTAGTATAGTGTGTACAAGATTAAATAGGATCAAATAGATACATATTTGCTATTTGGCCAAATGACTCTCAAGTCCAAATGTGGGTGAAATGCACAATACAACCACCTGCATACTTGGTTGTTGCTTGTTGTAGGGGATGACTTAAACATTTTGAACCCAAGACAATATATATATATATATATATACATATACATAGAAACCAACGTACCGTCTAGAACCCAACGCAATTCCGATATACTGTATATATATATTATATATGTAGAAACCAACATACCGTGGTGCGACGCGTGGTGAAAGTAGTGCAATGGCCTGCTTGGGGAAACTCAATTAGCCGCCGCTGGCCAGACATGGCGGCGTATTGCGCGCGCGCGTACTGCCGCTCGGTCTGCGGATCCAACCCGCCCGACATGAGCAGCGCCGTCGAGTGCAGAGGCACCACCGCCGTGACATTCCAATACGCATCGCTATGGCATTGAGCATTAAATTTAATATATTATTTACATGCAATCTTGGTCTGTTGAATAGATAAACGCAAAACGTACGGACTATAACGAAATGGAGCACTTGGTGGTAGGTTGAACTCGGCACACGCTGGGTCGGTGGCGCCTACGCCAGTACAGTTTACAGCTTAGTATGGGCACACAAAATATATGTGTCATCATATATATTATATTTTGAAATAATATGATATAGATGTTAATTACGCACAACTCGATATATATATATTACTTTATTAGCATATTTTCAAAATCTACCGGTATGATATCATGTATAATACTTCGAAGTGCTTTATGTTTTGGATTATTTGCACACAACTTTACATACGATAAACCAGTAGCAGTAGACACGAATAATGGCCATACTAGTATATTAGCATATTTTACATATCTATGTAATCATATATAATGCTCCGAATATTGTACGTTATAGATATTGTACATATACATACAATAAACCAGTAGCCGCAGTAGACACGACTAATGGCCACAATATATATATATATATACAATCTATATATATATATATACCTGTGAATGTGCAGTAGCTTTGCACGAGGGCATACGTGTCCCCGCCCATGATGCCTCGTCGAAACGTCTGGTACAAGGCGTCATAGGAAGGCGTGGGGTGCTCCCACATCTCCGAGTACACGATCAATCCATACAAGAGCTCGGAATAGTAGAGCACACTGTCCTCGCTCGAGCTGCGCACGCCCCATCGGCTACGCAATAAGTACGTCATATATATATATATATATATACGAGCCACTCTCCAAGCAATTGTACCCTGCTTCACGCACATATTTATCCACAAACGTTTGAATCACGTCCACGTCCGTCGGCGCACATCGCGCGAGGCGGTACACCAAAGCCGGAATGAACTCTCGAAATGCCATGCTCTGCAACATGGTGCCTACATAGTGTCAAAAGTCGCTTCGAAATTCTTTGTGGTCAATCGAATGTGAGCAGAACAACCCTATATATATATATATATATATATATATATGGTAGACAATTGATATATCGACCAATCAAAACACAACACGAATCAAGTAGCCAATCAAATTATAACCAAGACAACATCGAAGTAGTGTGTGACTTCAATTAGTGTGACGACACTTGGACGAAATTTACATACAAACGTCAGGACAAAAAAAGAATTCGATCAATTTGGCGAATATGCACAAAAGTCAAGCTAATTTTTGGGGTAAAAGAAATACAATAGTGTGGTATATTCGGTACAAATGTCCAGACCCCGTTGAATCTATCGAATGTATTTCGCCGCCGAATCACGAATCATCGACGCTAGTATTGGGTAATATTCAATTTTGAGTGGATTTGATTGGCTCTTACAGAAAAGTATATTCAACCAATCAGAACTCTAGCGTGATGATTCAATAAATTGAGTAGACAAACCACGCGAATTTTGCAAGTGTACAGCGAATTCTCAATACAACCACCTTGCACAGCAACGTACCAAAGAGCGACCGCAGCGAGTCCGACGGCGGGCCCACGCCCAAGTCGTTGATCATGTCGGCGCACGTGTTACTCCCTCTCGCCGCCTCGTCCAACGACTCGTACAAGGCCCATGTGACCTGGGAAACATTGGCGTTGCTGAACTTGTTGCTGCAGAACGCGTCGGCCGAGCACACGTCCAAGAAGCGGGCGCCGACCACCGCCACGTCCTTGTCCCAGTTGGAAAACGTCGCCATGTGCCCAAAGTCCGCCGCGCTCTGACTCACGACGCTGTCGACGATGTACCCGCGGACGGCCGGCGACGCCAGCTGCATGAGCCGCTCCACGAGGAACGTGCCGTAGCTGAGCGCGTACACAAACACTTGGGTTCCGTTGGACGTTTGGGTGGCTTCGATCACTTTTTTCATATCGTACGCGGCACTCGTCACGGAAAACGCGTTCGTGTGGTTGTCTACGTATATATACAATTCAATGGGTTGATAGAAATATATATATATATATATATATAGAAAGGAAATTCAATGGGTTGGTGAAAATCATATATTTATATGTATATCCTGCAGATAGAGGAAACATCAATACACGTGTGCCATGGACGAGCATGCCATTGAATGAAATTGGGATGATATCAAAATATATATATACTCGGATGATATATAATATCATCCCATTTTGAATACTTCAAAGTATTATATATATATATATATATATATATTGGGATAAACGATCAAATAGGACAAGGGAGAAAGGAGTGTGTACCCATTTGAAACAACAGGTCTTGAATGCAAGCGGGATATTCGTCGGCTGTGATGCCGAGGCCGCCGGCGCTGCCAGACGTCATGGCTTCGGCCTACGATCAACATCATGTACATCATGTTGGAGTGGAATTGCAGAGCAACTTGTAGAGAAACGAGCGTTCGAAACATAGATACGTACGGCGTTGCAAACAAGGCGGTTGCTTCGGCCCGTGCCGCGGTGGTCCATCGTGTAGATGGACACAGTCTCGTTCATTTCCCAGTACAAGGACGACATGAGCTGCTCCATGGCCGTGGACGAGTCTCCCGGGCCGCCCTGCATGACCCACAGCACCTTTTCCTTGCCGATCTCGGCGACTTTGGCCGGGTTGGCCAGCTTTCGCTTGACGAACACGTCGATGGTTTTGTTGCGGACGTCGTGGCACACTTCTTCGTGGCACATGGGCATTTGGAACTCGCCGCATTCGTAGTTGGTGTACGAATTCAACGCGCGACCGTGGGCGTGGCTTGTGTGTGTGAGGGAGGGTGCCACGTTGAGGAACGGCACGTGGCGATGCAGCGCTTTCGACGACGCCGTCGCGTGGACGTACATGTTGTAGTCGATCGAGTTCATCTCACAATGGTACCACCCATTGAACGGGATGGAGGTGGCAGCGCTTCCAGCTGCTGCTGCTGCTGCTGCCGTCATGCCAAGGAAGCCTACAGATCCACGCAGCACCTTCATGACCGCTAGCGTTTATTTGAGGCCGCAAAGCAATACTAGTATGGAATAATATGGCGACATCGAGGCGTTTCACGAAATCAATGGCGACACGACCACAAACGTCACGACCATATTCATATGATCCCATGGTGTATTGTTTTATCCTAATTATATATTCACTCGGATTTTGTATTCATGCACACTAAAATCATTTAAATATATTTAAACAATGGGTTCGTGCTCGATTCCAGTGTCGATTCGCATGTGAATTTTAAACTTGGTATTTGTATTGACGTTCTACATGGTACAACCCCCCAGCGGTCGATCCGGTTGCAATCGTCCGCCAATCAAATCGCGTCTAAATATACCTCAGCATCATTCATTTATTATTCCTCATTTATTCTTCATTTCCACGACTCCAGAGTCCAAAAAGTAGACCAAATTAACTGTAAAACCATTTCGAGTCTAGTTGTTTGCCCTCTCTCGCGTCCTTTCCGCTATCGGCTCAATACGCACGACCTTAACAAGCATGGCTACGTCTTTGTTTGTGGCTGTCCTCCGCGTACAATACACCGAGCCATCTGGCCGGACACACAACCACCCGCCATGGCCAAATGCACAGGCAAAGCTGTACAACGTCGTCCACTCCCGGCCAGAATCGAGTGCAAACTGCTCGTACGACCGCAGCGCCTCTCCTTGAACCTACCATTTATCACCTCCTTATTTAAATAAATAAATGAAACAACGAACCTTGACGCTGCCAAACATGTTGAGACCAAGCCACCGCCGGCTTTGTTCGTGCTGAAAGCCCCAAATGTCGCCGTTTCCAGTCAACGTAAACGCTCGAAAAATACAAGTGTCCGACGCCGTGTCCAGGCTATACGTGGAAAACTCCATATTGAAAAAAAATTACGGAAACAACATGTGGAAACATAGCGAATTTAAAAAACAAAAAAAAGCACAACATATTATTTAGATCCAAAACGACATCCTATTCTTTAAATCGACACCCGTAGAGAATATTGGAAAATAATATTCTGAATTCGCTCGAAACATCCAAAATTACTGGTTTGTCGAATCAATCTATGGAATCACGCTGGAGTTGTTCTGATTGGTTGAATATACTTGTCCTCCTTTCTGTAAGAGCCAATCAAATCCACTCAAAAAATTGGATATTAGCCAATAGCGTTGATGATTCGAGATTCGATTCGGCGGCGAAATACATTCGATAGATTCGACGACGTCTGGAGATTTGTACAGAATATACCACAATATAGAAGTATATATAATATATACAAGTATGAACTACCTAAACACGGGATCGCCATGGCTCGTGGGGGTCATGAACCGGCGACTGTTTTGCTCTTGCAGCGCACAGCGGAACTGCACGTCGATTGTCATGGACGAGTGCGTCAAGTTGATGGCTTTTGCCGTCACGAGGCGCATGTCATCTTTGGCTTTGTCGGACTTGGCGTCGAGTCGGTCCAGCTGGGCGTTGTGGTGGTCCAACGCGTTGCCGATGGCGCGACTGGCCTGCTTCATCTGCATTATCTCCATATGAGAGAGAAGTCACTACGAGCAATGCCAAAGACCTCTAGGAGTTGGGGGGCCAATGCGTCGAGGAAGGCCCGTTGGTCGACACTCAATCCGTCGGCGTCTGTGTGGGAATGCCGCTCGGAGGAGGACGCGGTCGTGCCGCGATCATGAGAGGAGGGAACAAGGTCCCGCCTCGACGAAGGTTGACGTGTGTCCTGGGACGAGGTTTTCGTTGGAGCATGCATCGTGTCGTAGTGCTCCATCAACGCTAGCTGAGATCGCTGGGCCACGCGACATTCGGGACAGATAAAGCCCATCGAGATCTCCGAGGACGATGAGGGTAAATGAAGCGCAGGCTCCTTTGTGAATTTGTTGTAGAGCCACCCCGACCATGACATGCCTCTACGTCCGACGTCCGTTCGGTATGATACACTGGCATCCTGCGCCATTCTCCATGATCAAGGTGTCCTACCTAACAACATGGTTGGCTTGTTTGACAGTGGCTTCTGTCAAGTCCAAGTTGCGCTCAGCTCGATCCAGCGCCTCTGCCTGACGTTTGAGGAGGAAGTAGAGAATGGTGTGGGCGTACCAGACTGTTGACTGAGTGCGACGGCCGTCTCTCTTGCAATGTTCAGAGTCTCTGCCGTCGTGCGTAGCGACTCAATGTACTTTTGCTGTGGATCGGCCAACGATGTCGTTGCCGACACCACCGCGGAAGTCGCTCGGACCTCCATAACGTTACTGTTGTAATGATGTTGACGGCGAATCTATTGTTGGAAAGAATTTACACTAATTTCAGTGTTTTTTGCTTGATTTGAAGAACAATTCCCGATTATTGGTTGTAAAACAACCAATCAAGACGCCCGAATCATTCGTAATAATCATGGGCGAAGGCGGCGCCGCCGCGCATCGACGGCACGTCCTGGATGCAGTTCGACAAGCAGAGGCCGTTCTGAAAACCTCCACGGAAGACAAGTCCAAAGTGGATGCCTTGGCTGAACTCCGACGCCTTGCCTTGCTCCCGGGGGGCTTTCGTACCAATGTATATCCAACGTCGTCTCCAATCGATCACATATTCACAGATACATGTAGGACCTGCGCAAACGTGTGTGGCCTGTCTTATTAGGATACTCGTCTGACGATATCACGGAGTTCTACGCCACCCACCGCATCAAGCTTCAGCAACCTCCGTATGCCACCACATCCCACCGCGACGACGGTCAAGTCCGCCTCGACGTGAATCGGTCCATGGGAGAATCGAGATGGGCCGACGTGGCGGGTCTCAAGCGCGGCAGCAAGCGCAAGGCTCTCTTCTCCCTTCTCCACGCCACCCTCTGTATTTCCCCCGGTACGTACGAACCTACCAACACATGTCAACTGCATCCCGACATTCATCTCGCCGTGTAGATGCGCATTACTTTCAAGGATTTCACGACGTCGCGAGCATCTTCTTGCTGACGGTGGGCATGCCGCTGGCCGTCCCGCTCCTCACGCGCATGAGCACGAGCTACATGGCCGAGCCCATGCGATCGAACCTGGACACGGTGCTGCCGCTCTTTGGCCTGCTCTACCCGTTACTCGCCACCCAAGACCCCACGTTGGCCAAGCATATTGCTGGCTCCGTGGTATACATCTCCATCTACAATCGTGCAAACTGACACTTTGTATACAGGACCACGCGTACTTCGCCCTGCCTTGGGTGCTCACGTGGTTTGCCCATCACGTGGACGCGTTGCATGACGTGGCACGCTTATACGACGTCTTTCTCAGCGCGCATCCGATTTTCCCCCTGTATGTCGCTGCCACGGTAAAGATATCTGTAGTCGATTTGATACAAATTTGGGGACAGCCAACCAAACCGATCCACAATCGATCTGATTGGTTGAATTTCATTGAGAAGGTGGTTTTGATTGGCTAATAATATTGAGCTCATCTGAAGTAGCCAATCAAATCGATTTAAATTCCAACGAAATTTCACTCGAAAGCACAATATTCTGTCATTCTTTTTTTGACGTATAATTAGTTGGAACTATTTTGACCGATTTTTTCGATATATCGACAGTTGCTTTTGAAACATCGCGACGCGATCTTGGCGGTGGAACCGGACTTTGCCATGTTGCACTCGACCCTGCAATCTCTTGGCCATGGCATCATGGACGACGTCGACGCCGTCCTCCATGACGCGAACGACCTCTTGCATAACGTTCCCCCACGCGAAGTCGAAGCTGCTGCAGGTGCATCCTCGGTCCGTCGCCACTCCACGTACATGGCGTATCCAATGCCACACCAGCGGCGTCTTGGCGTCGTCGACGATGCAAGTCTGTCCATCGATGGCACAAGGTACGTTTGGATGGTGTGGGTACAGTAGTTATGTGCAAAGGTGTCATGGGTCGTCTATGATGTAGGAGACTCGACTTGATGCAGTATGGCTTGGTCTGTGGAGTCGTGGTGGGGACTCTTGCAGTGGCAGCGGCGATCATCCCGTCGTTGCGAAAGCAAAGTCCGTAGCACCAAGTCAACATTAGAGCTTCTTTTGTGTTGTAACTTAAATACAGATGAATTATTAATCTTCCATGTCGTAATTCTCTTCGAAATACAAGTATTCGCGGCACACGGGGCAATTCTTGTCGCGGTCGGTCCATTCCAGCAGACACGACAGGTGAAAGTTGGTTCGGTTCATGCCGCAGTTGCACAACGTTCGGATGCGAGGGTTCCCGGCATCGAAGGCGTCAAGACACATGACGCATTCTAGCTCGACGCCGTCGACCACTTCAGTATTCGTCGATGGGGCCTGCAGAGGCAGGTATGCGTCAACGGACGAGATCACAGCTGCCGACGTTTGAGGTGGCGGTGTACAACTGCTCTTGGGGGATTCTTCAAAGTACGATGTCGTCGTGTACGAGGAAGATGTGTCTACGGCGCGGTTCGTGCGCTTCATGACTGCATTGTCGTCAGTGCTGCGGCGTGAGACTGGGGTAGTCGACTCCGCATCGACATCCACGACGCTGTGGTCTTTGAGCAACCCACGGGATTCATGCGGAGGTTCGTTGGGAGATGACGCACCGTGGTCTGGTTGAGGAGAGTTGCGCCGACTCCGACTCGCTGAGAAGCTGTGGTCAAGGCACGAGCAAGTCTGGCCCATGTCGGCGAGAATTTGCGAACAACCAATATGGTGAACTGGCCCGCCGGTGGAAGTTGAAGTAGCCAATCGGAACGCACGGACGAGATGAGGTCAAAATGGAACTTGATTCATTTATTAAGTCGTTATTCAAAATTAATTTTAAACCTCATCATACTTCAAAGCCCACGTTTTTAAAACGTTCAAGATAGATAATCCTCATTTATCCCAACGCGATCCTACAACATCCCAGGATGGTTGATTATTTTTTTATGGTTGGCAGCTTCTTCGCCGTGCACTCCTTGAAGGGAGCGCCAATGCCGTAGGATCCGCTGGTGGTTTGCAAGCGCGCATTCTTCTCCGTCCTAGGAAAGTCGCATTAGACATGGAGGCGTGGGCAAGTCGTCATGGAGATCATGGAGGCCGCCATGTACTTTTCACTGGCGAGCTTTTCCTGCAACATCTTGATGCGGTTCTCGTACGTAAAGTCTTCAGGCTTGGAGTTGTCAATGTAGCATTGGCCGTAGTCCTGCCACCATCTCTTTGCTGCCATGCGCTCGCTTTCGATCTGCGCCGTCAAGTTTGCTTGCTTGGACACGTAGTCCACTTCCTTGGCACCGGTCGCCGCCGCGGGAGCTGTCGGCATGCTTGATTAAACTCACACCTCTTCGCAACCAACAACATGGCTACATGCGTCGCCTATGAATAGCCAACCACTACAAAATGGCGACCCAAAAATAGGTCCTTCCGGCGTGAAAACCGCCGCTATGCATCCAGAAACCACCAAGTACCACAGTATGACCTACATACAGTACGTAGCTGTCTCAACATTTTAAGTTAGCGAGCGTTCACACTACTGTACTCCAATAAGTATGCCCCCTTCGATCACGATTATCCCGTTAGAGCTCGTCGTGTTCGTATATGTATGTGCTGCTAGTATTATCGTAAATGTTGTTAGTCCATCGTGGTGAGGGTCTGCGACACGGTAAAGTCTGCTTCCGTGCGCTTCTTGATCTCATCGACGGTCACGCCGGGGGCGTGTTCGATGAGCACGAGGCCGCCATCGACGACGTCGAACACGGCGAGTTCCGTGATGATGCGGCTCACGACTTGCTTGCCAGTGAGCGGCAGCTTGCAGCTCTTGAGGATCTTGGCGCTGCCGTTCTTGGCGTTGTGCTCCATGGTCACGACCACGCGGTTGCCCGACCCGACCAGGTCCATGGCGCCGCCCATGCCCTTGACCATCTTCCCCGGGATGATCCAGTTGGCGAGGTCGCCATTTTGCGCTACTTGCAGCGCGCCGAGGATGGTCAGGTGGATGTGGCCGCCGCGGATCATCCCAAATGACTCGGACGACGAAAACGTCGACGATCCCGGCAAGTACGTGACGGTCTCCTTGCCGGCGTTGATCAAGTCCGGATCCTGATCCCCCGTCTTGGGGTACGGCCCCATGCCCAAGAGGCCGTTTTCGCTCTGGAGCACCACCTTGACATGCGATGGCACGTAATTGGGGGCCAGCGTCGGCAGCCCAATGCCCAAGTTCACGTACATCCCGTCTTGAAGTTCCTTGGCCGCGCGCTTGATGATGCGTTCGCGGTCCGGGGTTACCTTGGCGCTCTTCTGCTCACAATGACCCGATTAGTCATGTCGCGATCAAAGGGGGAATGTATATATATATATATATATATATTTGCAGATAAAGGCAGGATTAGAAATATTAATGTACCGCGTTGTCGGACACGGTGAGCCGCTCGATGCGCTTTTCGTTCTTGGTCGCTTTGAAAATGCGTTGAACGTACACCCCCGGCACGTGGATTTCGTCTAGAGAATTGTTTGCAAGGCCATATTCAGTTCAGTATTTCATATACGATGGGGGTGTGGATGAGATCAACCACATGACGGAAACGACGATGAACTTGACGATGGTTACCTGGATGCAGCGCGCCGGTCTCGACCAACTCTTCGACTTCGACGATGGTCGTGCGGCCAGCCTTGGCCGCGTCCACGTTGAAGTTGCGCGTGGTGCCTTTGAAAACCAAGTTGCCGTCCTTGTCGCCTTTCCAGGCCTTGACCAGCGCAAAGTCTCCCGTGATGCCTTCTTCCATCACGTAGTGGCGGCCGTTGAATTCGCGCACTTCGCGCGCTTTGCTGGGAATGTCCACGGACCCGTCGCTCTTGAGCTTGATCCCAAACCCTCCTTCCTAATGAACGATTGAGTCGGCATGGTGAGGGAGTTTGTCACGACTGTACTTGGATGATGGTGCCGTAAGCTGTCGGGGTGAAGAATGCTGGGATACCTGCCCCGCCCGCACGAATGCGTTCCGCAAGGGTGCCCTACAACATGACATTTTGAATTTTAGATTTACGCGCGAAAAATTAAGCTGAAAGTTTGTATACCTGGGGCGTGAGTTCGACTTCGAGTTCGCCAGAAAGATACAATTTCTCAAACAAGGCGTTTTCACCCACGTACGATGAGATCATGCGTTTGATCTGAAGATACGCAGCATGCGGCGTTAGATACGTCAACATGACACCATCGATGCACGTACTTGGCGAGATTGAAGCAACAGGCCCAACCCGTAGTCGTCGACGCCGGCGTTGTTGGATACGCATGTCAAGTCCTTGGACCCGAGGCTCACCAACGCATCGATTGAGCTTTCGGGAATACCGCAAAGTCCAAAACCACCCACAATCCTACATCATCCACGGGATGTCGTCAATGTTGGATGTGTTCAGCGCATCGTCAAAAGACGTACGTACAGCTTGGATCCAGATTTGATGTCCTTGACGGCGTCGTCAGCGTTGGCGTACACCTTACTGCTAAAGAAGCGTTGCGCATTGAGGGCGGAAGCCGCGGGCATGACGGACGCATGGAGACGGCGGGCTTGTCGAAGCATGATCTGTCGCTTGAGCCCAAGGTGGTGAGTTACGAAATGAACAACGCCCCACATACTATCAAAGCGATATACAAACTTCAAGGTACACGAACAAAATCACACTAATTCACGTCCAACAAATCTTGGCAATCCATGGATATATGTATACTACTATCACATACATAAATAAATGTTTCATCTATTCCGTACTTCAACCTTCCAATCCTATTAATAGATCAACATACTACCAGTAGTACGAAGGTTCCAGTACTACCGGTACTGTTCGTTACTGTACAGAGAACAATGAAACACGGTGCCCCATGACAAAGCCATGCTGATGTGATGCTAGGATTATACTAGTACTACGTACTACTGTAGTAGTACTGTAGTACTTAGTGCACATGTGTTGATGCAACCCCATATGGTGCCGATGACAAATCATCCGCAGCTTGTCAACATCCGATGGCCTTTCTCGACACTCGATTGTGATTGGCTAGCCTTTCTAGCCACTTCAACTTGGCCACAACGGGACCATTCCTCGTGGATTGTCATGCAAACCTCCGTCGTCGCCTTGACTAGCGTTCCCTTCCCCACAATTACTACTACTAGTACCCCCTATATACAGTATGTACCTTGCATCTATCTATACAGCTCGCAACGCCTACTACTAGTATACTACAGCGTCATTACTATTAATAGTCCGAGTATGACTGCAATACAGTATTGCGTGGGATTACGACGTGGATTTGCCGCCAGGAACGACTTTGCCCTTCCTTTTGGTCGTTGGGGCCATGTAATCGGACAACGTGACAGCCTGCCGTACCGACGACGACGTTGTGTTTGACGAGGATGGAGTTGTTGCTCCGCCACTACTGCTTCGAGCCGTGCCTTCGTTACTGCCTCCATTGGCCATATTCCGGTTGCCCTTGCGATCTCCATGACGCGGCGGCCTAGATGACGCCGCCGCCGCCGCCTGTCCAAACGTCGTTTTCGGCCGTCCATTGGGCTTGCCAGCCGACGCTGCCGACGACGACGACAACGAGGGCTGACGAGGAAGGGACTTCAACATGGCTTCACACAAGAACTTGGCCCTGGCGGTTTGGTCGGTAGAGCCCAAGAAGCTGAAGTGCGCCAAGTTCTGGCAGGTCCGGACGCCGTGGTATGTCACGCGCGCGCCGCTCGCTTGTTCGACCTCTTTGATGCGCGCCCCTTGCTTGCCAATGAGCCTTCCGTCGATGTTGAGCTCGTCAGCTCTTGCCAGCATCTACCATTGACCATGTACATATATATATCTTTATTCGAACTTCATTTTCACATGTACTACGTAATACTATTCTATCAAGTCGATTCGAAATTTTTAGAGTGGTGCTCACAATCAACACCCAATCAGCAGGCAATCGATATACGACCAATCAAAACCCAGATCAAGTAGCCAATCAAAACCCCTCTTTGACCAATGCCATCTCGAATTAGTGTATGACTTCAATTAGTGTGACACTCGGCGATTTTACATCCAACAGTCAGGACAACGAATCGATAGGTTTGGCAAAGAATCAACAGAAAAGTCAACCAAAATGTTCAAACGATAATATTACTACTACAGTACGTACCTCGGGTGACAAGATTGATGCCAGCGCCAGCTTTTCGACGGACGGAGCCGCCGACGACGACGACAGGGTCGAATCGCCTCCCGTCGAGTCGGATTCCATGGAGCAAAACGACTCGTTCACGTGCCTCCGGAACGATGACGTGGCAGGCGGCTGCTGATAGCTATTGGTGCTGCTCTGAGACCCGCCCCACGACGAAGGGTGCGACGACCGCCGGCGCATGAGTTGGCCTTCGAGCAGCATCTTTTCCCCCTCATCCGTTTGATTTAGTCGAATTTTACACCGGCCGATTTTCTCTATAATATTAATCAATGAGTCAAACAACTAGGCTAGACGTACGTACCAAGGCAAAACCCGACTTCTTTTGAATCTGGCAACAGCACTTGTCGAATCGCCAACGCTTCTGTGTAGGCGGCTTCGGCCAAGTTGTATTTGTTCTATCAACACAACTTTACTGTAAATATATATATATATATATACAAAACTGAGGACAACCAAACGTCATTGCATAGGTAGGTAGTTGCTAACACATTCACAAGAAATGATATTGCCAAGTTGATTCAAAAATCGAGTGCTTGGGTGCTCAATCGAATGAGCAGAATAACCCAATCGGCAGACAATCAATACATGACCAATCAAAACCCAGAACACAAATCAATGGCCAATCAAATCCACACTTCGACCAATTCAACACCGAATTAGTGTGTTACTGAAATTAGTGTAAGTCAGGACAAAGAATCGATCGATAGATTGGGCAAAGAATCCGCACAAAAGTCAACCAAAATTGGGGTAATAAAAAGACAATATATATTGTGCTTTCGAGTGAAATTTCATTGTGTTGTAGCGTGGTTTCTCGTTGGAATTTAAATCGATTTGATTGGCTACGTCAGATGAGTTCAAAATTATTAGCCAATCAAAACCACCTTCTCAATGAAATTCAACCAATCAGATCGATTGTGGATCGGTTTGCGATTCGACTGCACCCCAAATTTGTATCAAATCGACAATACCTGCGCGACATAAATACGGCCAAGGTTTAGCAATGTCTGGGCCACGCGGTCATTGTCGTGGTTGTAGTATTGCTTGCGAATTTTCAAAGCTTCGACGCAGTACTGTTCCGCCGATAAATAGTCCTTCTACATTGCCACAATGTATATATATATATACAAACCCTCGTTAATACATTTTAATGCAATATATATATATATATATATATATATATATATATATATATAATCAAACCTGAATGAATTTGAGATTTCCCAAATTATTCAACGTGGAAGCCGTGTCAGGGTTGTTATTCCCCAACTTCACGCGTCGAATCGTCAGCGCCAGGTTGTACCAGTCGTATATTTTCATATATTCGAGCGCGAGCTGGTCCTTTGGCATTCGGCTATCGAAACCAAGTGTCAAAAAAAATGTAATATTAATAATAATAGCATCCACGTGGTGAATTCGATACAATCTATTGAATAATCGACGCTATTGGCTACTCTCATATAGAGTGGATCATCTGATTGGCTGGTATAGACAGGATAAGAATATATATTCAGCCAATCAAAAGTTCCAGCACGATTCAAACATGAACATAGAACACCATGGGCACTTTTATGGACATTTTAGCCAAGAATTCCCTTAGCGACACCCATCCCCCATTTCAATTTTCGTTTGTTTTTATAAATATTGTGTGTGTTCTACTCAAAATATATTTCCTCTGGCGTTGGTTGGTTGAATGAACCGCCGAACAACCTTTGAAATTTCATATAAAATTAAGTTAAAGAGGTATCTGTGGGACTGCAATGCAACAATCAATCTTTTTAGCCAATCATATTTCAACCTTCATTCTTTGTAGCCAATCATACTCGTTTGCTCGATTCGTTGGCGATTTCACATATCCCCCAAATATAGGCAAATATGACGAATGAAAAGCACAATATAACATCATGACAATGGACGTACTTGCGGGGGGGTTTGTCGAGTGTATGCGATAAAAATAGCGCCATGTTGTTCAAGCTCTGCGCCACATGCGGATGCATTTGGTCCGGGCTGAGCATCTTCCGGATAGCCAGCGATTCCTCGTACAAGTCCATGATCTGATCGTCCGATTTGAGTAGGACCCCGCCCCACCCGAACAACTTGGAGTCGGGTCCGTCCGTGTGCCGGGAGCTGAGCATCTGCAGCGCCGACTTGTAAAAGTTGGCCAAGTTGTTCAAGCTCGTGGCGTAGTCCACGTGCAACGTTCCCAGCACCTACAGTACTTGCACTCATTCCTAAGCAACTACCGCAGCAACAACACAACGCGTACCAGCTCACGCATGGTCTTGGCTTCGATGAGCAGCGATTCTGCTTGCCGAAACAACGACTGGTTGACAGCATTAAAGCCTTTTCGAGTGCTGAGGCAGATCCCGAGGTAATTCATCACCTCTGCCACGTGTGAGTGGTTCTCACGCTTCAGCACATCGCGCTGCAGTCGCAGAGACTCGCGGTACATGTGCTCAGACCGAGCGTAGTCTGTCACGTCGTAGTACGCATACCTGGTAGGGAAAATAAGGACATACACTCCAAAGTATATATATATTTATATATAGATATGTCTTTCTCCTCCATATACTACTATATATATACGTAACGAAAGTTTAAAATACACTCCAAAGCATACTTCCAAGTATACATACATATAGTTGTCGTTCTCTGTCCATATGTATTACTGTATAGCCATCATGCATATGACCTACACACATATGGATATCACCATGGCTATATATATATATATATATATATATATATATCACTAGAATGAACATCCAAACATTATAATAATTATTATTGACTTCGTTTTATCCAAATAAAAAAAAATACAACAAAAAAAGAATGTCATTTGTAATGACCACACAGTACGAATCATTACAAGTGTCCGTCCTGTCGTCGCCTATATATATATATATAAATCCCCATACATCCACCCACCAAACCCCATCCAAACGACTAAACCGAGTTCTGGACGTGCGTACCCCATCTCCATGACCATGAGCACTTCGAGTGCCAGCAGCTCCATCACGCCCGCGCACTTGCACGGCGGCGCGTCCTTAGACGGCGTGTCGTACGTGTCCCGCACCACGGGCGTGTCGTCGTCCAGGTCGGCGTCTGTTGTCATGAGCGCCGTCGAGTCGTTCTCCATGTGGCCGCACGAACAGTTGAGCACGCGCGCGCTCTGGCTCAGCTGAATCGCCTTCTCGTACACTTCCATGCGCTGGCGAGGGTCGAGGCGCACCCGAAAGATGAACCGGCCGCGCACAATCAGCAGCCTACCCATATAAATATAAATATATATAACCAGTCGAGTTTTGAATATATTATTGACCGTCCAACATGGATATTATACACACATGATGACATGCGTCAAGAAAAATGTGTCCCCTTCACACACAGGTGGTGACTGACCCGAGTAGGTAGCCATTCCCCAGACGAACTAGATAGATAAAACCCATATTGTTTTCATTTGTTTGCAAGGTGCTACTTCCAACATACTATCGAGGAAAGCAGTAGGATATTGGGTATAAACAATATGAAGTTTGCGATTGGCTATTTTAAATATCATGCAGTCCAACACAGAGACGACCTCTTAAACTTAGTAGTATATATCATATTTCGCAGGCCCCTCGCTTTTTTGGTTTATTCAAGTGGACATTTCGAGAGTGAAAAACAATAAAAACACATATTGTCGATTTGATACAAATTTGGGGTGCAATCGAATCGCAAACCGATCCACAATCACAATCGATCTGATTGTGTGAATTTCATTGAGAAGGTGATTTTGATTGGCTAATAATTTTGAGCTCATCTGAGGTAGCCAATCAAATCGATTTAAATTCCAACGAGAAACCACGCCACAACACAATGACAATACAACTAGAGCCACAAAAGTCGACTCGGACGTACGCGTAGAGGAGGGTGTCGACGACGGGCACGTCCACGTCGTCCCCGCTTGTGCTGGTGCATTCATCTTCTGCTTCGTCACGGGCTTTGGTGGCGTTCATGTCGCGCGCCAAGTACTCGCTGTGGCGAGCTAGTTGCTCGGCAATTCGCAGCGCCGACTCAATGTTAGATCGATGTTGGTCGAATAAATTCAAATTGCCCACCGATCTAAGAAAAAATATATCAGATTGCCACAACCTTCATGGCAAATGTAAAACAAATACGAGTATTGTTGAAACTTCCAACAGTATTCGCTTGGTTTGGTCGACTCAATATATTGATTCATCACGCTGGGGTTCTGATTGGTTGAATATACTTGTCCTCCTTTCTGCAAGAGCCAATCAAATCCACTCAAAATTGGAGATTAGCCAATACTAGCGTCAATATTCGGTACTATTCGATTCGGCGACGAGAGTATTCGATTATTCGACGGGGTCTGGAAATCTGTACCGAATATACCACAATACTCCTTACGTCGTCGACCCACGACAGGGCCATCGCTTGTCTTGTCCAAACAATATAATCATCATAGATACTTATAATAAATCATTCCAACAAATAGTTCTAATAAGTAGTTCTAATAAATATATTCCATTAAATAGTTATAATAAATATATTCTAGTAAATAGTTCCAATAAATATATTCTAATAAATAATTTAATAAATAACTATAATAATAATAATAGATACATAATCACCATAAAAATACAATAATAAAAATATTCTAATAAATAGTTCTAATAAATATATTCTAATAAATAGTTCTAATAAATGTATTCTAATAAATAATTCAATTAATTCACTATAATAATAATAGATACAAAATTAGAATAAAAATAAATCGTACCTAAAATTGCACGACGCGCGAGTCAAAATTGCATAATAATGGCGCACAAAGCGCCGACGCCACGTCAAGTACAAGGCGTAATTTTGAGCGTTTTCAAAGCTGCGTCGGTTGGCTTCGTCTTCAGCAAAGAGCTGGATCATGCTGTGGAGGCGGTACTGTGTCACAGTCTCGTACGTTGGTTTTGCAGCACCGGACGACGGAGATGTCTGGACGACCTTTCGGGGCACGGAGACCCGCTCGAGCAGCGACCAGTGGTTGAGTGTCTCGAGAACGTCGTCCGTGGACGTGACATCCAGCGCCGTGGCGGCCCGCTCCTCCTTGCTCTCCAGCGTCAAAAGCAAAAACATTTCCGTCGACACGGCATCATCCTTGTCGTGCTCCAAGAGGCTGTTGAGCAGCTGCAGTTTATCACCCCAGGTCTCAACGTCCAGTGTCTCGAGATGGGTCAAGCCCGACGCTGATCGATGCATGGTCGACTGGGGTCGTCGGTAGCTCGACGCAAGAGAGCCGCCAGTTCTGTGGGAGGAAGAGGAGGACGAGGACGGCCGCATCGACGGTTCCGACAACGACTTGGCCAGCGAGCCAGGCCCCGACGACATAGAGGAGGCCGAAGAGCCGCCTCGAGACACGGACTGAAGCACGGCGGTGGCGGCGGCGCGGTCGAACCCGCCTCGGAACAGCCCCAGCGCCATGAACGCCAGCTGCAACCACGGATCCAAGTGGGTGAACGAAGACCGGATGCAGCGATCAATGCACTCCTTCTCGCCCGCATTCGGCAGCCCCGCAAACCGCTCCAAACGTCCTTCTTCGCTCTGGAACATACCACCATACACACGTGTTGTGAAAAAACGGCACTTTTCGATATATATATATATATATATATATATGAGAATATCCATGAATTCATTACAATCAAAACCGTGGGTAAGAAACCCGTTGGGACACTAGTCATGGTTGTTCGAATTGCTCGCGTGTTGGCCAAAAAAAGATACGATTAGGCCAATTTTGGGGGATTGACACATCGACCAAAAAACAAGCATGGTGATTGGCCAAAAAGAATGACGGTTGCAATATGATTGGTTTAAAAGATTGAATGTTGGCATGTATTTACAATAAATACCTGTTAAACTTAATCACATATATATGCGATTTCACAGGTCTGGCGATTGTTTGGCGGTTGGACCACTTGAGTAAATTCAGAGTCGAACACGCAATAAAAACGATACAACAAACTAGGATACATTTGTCCAGTCAAATACTTCAATAAAAGAGGTATAATTTTGCCTATTCATATATACATTTATATATATATATATATGCATGATACCTGGAGGCGCTGAATCAAGTCGTTTGCGGTCAAGTTGGATCGGGTGTTGGCCAGGGCGCGACCGATCACGCGCAGGGCCAGTGGGAGGTACCCGCAGATACGCGCGAGACTGCGGGCTTCATGGACGCTGCAGAGGGGGTTGCAGAGGCGCAGGAGGCTCTCGGAGAGCGACGGAGACAGCTCGTCAATCGTGTAGTGCTGCAGGGTCACGTTCGGGATCACGGGGGCGCGGCGGGATGCCAAGAGGAACCGCGTGTTGCTGGCACACGCGACGAGCTGGCCGAGCCACGCCTGGGTCTTGTCTTGGTCAAAATCCAGCAAGTCTTCCACCTTGTCCAGTACTAGCAAGCAACGCTTGGTGCTACAGAATGAATCACGTGACCCAAACAAGTGATCGACGTATGGTGGATTCATTCGATAGTACAAATTTCCAGACCCCATCGAATCAATCTCTCGAATCACGAATCAACGACGCTAGGATTGGCTAATCCAAATTTTTTAGTGGATTTGATTGGCTCTTACGGAAAAGACCAGTATATTCAACCAATCAGACCTTCTTGGTACTAGTATTGATTAGACAAACCACCCGCATTTTGGAAGTTTATAGCGAATTCACAATATTATTGTTGCACTGGTTAGATTGGGAGAGAATCAAAGACGGCTGCTCATGAATAAATACGGTACGGAAAATGCCACGAAAAGAAGGGAAATAGAAAAAAATATCATCCATATATATATATATATATAATACTATCTATATAATATGGATTAAAATGCAATGTCTATAAATAAAACGATACGTCAAAGTACTTTGAAGTAGTATATGTATATATATGTATTGAGTAAAATCACTTCGAATAATTAATTAGACCTTTAATCCCGTCCTTTTAGGGGTAATATATATATATGCAAGTATTCGACACATCCAATGACAGGGTTTTTAGAGTAGCATCACCACACTGTCGATGCATCGATATATAAAGAATGATGGTCATTTAGTATAATTCTTTCAAATAAGAGATACAGAGATCTCGACATACCCGAGCTCGGCAAACACTTCGGCGTCGGAACTCGACTCGGAGTCGCCCGTGGACAGCCCCACGCTGCGCGCTATGGCGTACCTATATACATCCACCATATATATATATAT